AGACATGGATTTTAAATTTCTTACTTTTATACATATCGGAAAATGATCGCTAATATCAGTCATAAATATAAATATTTCGTTGGCGAAAACTTAAACTTCGAAAAATAATTGACAAAAAAAATTTACGTTATCCAAATGTAAAACGAGTTTAACTTTGTTTTTTAGTTTTAAAATTTCAATAAACTCATGACTTCACAATATATGAGCATATGCATAATAGGGGAGAAGAGGGACATCTCAAATATTTCAAGTAGGAGAAGTCATAAATCAATGTTTTCTAATCTAAACAACGATACTTCTTCCCCTCAATTTAGCAAATAGACAGCGCTTTGTTTTCTTGAGTGTGTTAAAAATAACCATTTTCAAAAGTACCTCTAGTCTTGTTGTAAAAACGGTTTTTTGAGGGGTGAAACTATTGATCACCCAATTCTCCCATATCCTTTTATGTAATTATATTGTGGACACCTTTTAAATAATTTATTGGAGATTTCGTGGTTAACGATTTTAATAGCTTTTAAATAATAATTTTTTGTTTTATACTATAAGGATGTACCGGATTTCAGTTCAGGTACATCCGATTTAAATCAGGTACATCAGACCTAGAAGTAACTTTTAGATCATTCCGGTTCCGGCCGGAATAACAATATTTCCGGCCGGAATTTATTTTTAACGTCATTTATTTAATACATGTGACACAGACTGCATAAATTAAATCAAAAAATCATTTTCCAACAGGGCAATGAAAAACTATGTATAAACCTAGGTTAAAAAGTACAAACGTTTTATTAAATACATTGTGGTTTTGGGTAAAGCTACAGTTTAGCGCTCTAAATTTTTTTTTTTTCGCTTAATGCACTCTCGTTAGTGGAGAGTTTTTAAACAGAAAATTTAACTACAATAATAAAAGAAAAAAAAGTTACTGCCCTATGCCAAATTCTCAGTCAATGTAGCAGGACTTCCTTGCTTTTTTTTTTTTTATTTTTCAATTTTGGTGCCCCAAAAAGTCCTTACTGTCTTATCACAGAGCACCGCGGATGAGCATTTAATTGGATGTTCACGCCTCCTTCCTAACCAATGTCGCAAAACTTGCTCAGAGGTGGGGTTTGAACCATGGATCATTTGTTTCTGAGGCAAGTGCACAACCACTGCGCCACGGCTGTACGACTTGCATCCTCAGTCAATAAAGCAGACTATAAATAATCAATGTAGCAACACCGTCTTGTAGTAGCAGGCTGTAAGTAAATTGATGTAGCATCACTCCCTTGTAGCACCAGGCTATAGGATAGTCGATGTGTGCACTCGCAGTAATGCTAAACCAATTTTAGGTTGATGAAATGACATAGGGTTGTGTCATACATATTTGGATTTGTTAGAACCATACCATTCTGGGAAGGTTGGTGTGAAAAATCATACAACTAATATTTAAAAAATATTTGGGTTTATACAGGGGGTTAAATAGGTCTCGAACAAAAATATTGCCGCTCTGACTGATCTCAAGACCTATCACAAGGGTGCAAGCAATTGTTGTACATTTTGTCAAAAAATATGACTGGTTATTATATGTCTCGCTTAAATAAATCTTAAAAACTGTCTAAGAGACCTCAATGCCAAGCACTTTTTTCTTCTTTAAATTAAAAGGAAAAATTTTTAAAAAATATTTATTAAACATTAAATAAATGTTTTCCATTTAAACTAACCACTGCTTTTTTCGAATACTTTGCGTACTTTTGATGGTTATCAGACACTTTAAAACGATCCTATGCTTCCTTTACAAACGAGTATTAAACAGCTTCCCCTGCTTGTTTACTAAGGAAACCCAATCAAAAAACCAAAAAGACCAACATGTTGAAATATGACGGGTAACTTCACAGCAATTGTCATTTTGTAATCTTCCAGCAAAGTTGAATAATGATTTATAAATTAAACAATGTCTTTTTCAAATGTGGGTTATAGATATGCTTAGAAACAAGAGTGAATAAGGTTATCCAGCAGCCTGAATGCTCCAACCAATAGTTTTAATAAGACTAGAATCAAGTTATAGTTTCACCCGATTTTTAAATACTTTTCAGCAATCAAATTATTTGTTATATTTTTTTATAGTAATCGATAAGCTAATTTGTTTATTGTTTTAAAGATGCGGTTTATTGCTCCTTCCATCAAATAAAGTTTTGGAGGAGAAAGATAACTAGATCATTACCATCCCCAATCAAAATAACTTCATCAATACAGTTAAAATAATTGTTTGCTCTAATTTTCTTTGATCCGCTTGATTTATACAACTTACTACTTAAACTTAGTGACCTAAGTGTTCGCAGCTCAGTGCAATGATTTTTAAAAACCTCTGTTCTATTCCATGTACAAATATAACACCGAGGAGTTGCCATGGAACTTGGAGACATACCATACATGATTTGACAGAGTTTGATATCTGCCACACAAGCAGAGTTTATTTTTTCCAAACAGAGTTTGTAGAATTTTAAAACTTGAAATTTGATGATTTAATTTTATCTTGTTTTGTTTTTAATTGTTTCACTTGGATTTGCTGAAACATTTAAACAAACCTAAATAATTTATAATAAATTACACTTGTTAAATTTTTAATTAGTTACAAAAGTGGCATATTATAAATCGAATTACCTTAAGAAATCGCCGACCTCATCAATGGAAATTTTTATAGACTTGTTTTGAGGATAGGCTTGATTTGCCACAGAAACTCATTGAAATTTGTTGTTATGATTAAAGTTAAATAAACTTTTTTCCTCTAGAGGTTTAGTATTAAAAAGTTCAAAATCGTCAACAAAGCAATCATTAAGTTCCTGGTCAATATGTTTGAGCTCTGCTGCTAACCTTGATTATAAAATTTTTCTGTTTTGTGCTTTGAATAGTAATTCTTTTGCTAGCTTTAGAATTTTTGTGTTACTTAATTCTAAAGTTGATTGTATGACAATCATACTGTTTATTGAGGTTTTGTGGTTTATCCTCCTTTTTGTGGAGGCCACATTACCTCGGTCCGCAGAGACTAAATTCGGCTCCTAAAGGAGCGTCATTACCCTCTCTACGGACTAAGAGTAAGGTGAGTTTGGGAAGGACGAAGATATGTTAGAGTGAAAGGCAGAAGTAGTCGTGCTAGAAAGATGGCATAGAGAAAGCGGACAGATTTGCTCACGATGTTGGAAGGTGCAAGAGTGCTGTTAGTCGAACCGACAAAGACTTGTAGAGTTCACTTGATATGAACTCTTTCTTAATTTTTTTTGTCGTCCTGTTTATTGACAGTTGTTGTATTCAGACAGTTGTTGATAAAATTTCAACTATAAAATATTTGCCATGTTGTTAATAAATCGAATACCACAAAGCATTTATTTAGTTTTCGCAAATTATTAACAAGGGGGTTAATAATTTGTATGACTAGATGTTTTAAATATAATCATTCAAATCTATGTAATCACAATTTCATAAACTTTAATTAAAAAAAAAATTATAATTGTTTTTTAATATTGTATTAAAATAATGAAGTAGTTGTAATTGAATAAATCTAAAATAGAAAATTTGTTCCTGTTGTTTGTTTACGTTAAAAAATGTTTACTTTTTTCAAAATCTGTTTACTAAAAAAACGTGTTTTTTATTCATGTATTATCATTAAAGTGAATAATTATTATATTTTTCTCTTTATCACCCAGTAGTAAATTACAGGTAAAATAATATTTAAATAGTCAAACAATAAATTAAAAATCAGCTAAAACAACACGGCTCTTGTAGTTGTTAGCAATAAATGCTTATAAACAGCTGGTTTGTTTTCCACATATTATTGGGACAGATTTCTAGGAACATTCTCCTCCATCTAGATTTTAAACGCCTCTCTCTTTTCTTTCTAATTTCAAAACTGGAACATTTCTTTCAATATTAGCATAATATTAGTTTGTAGCTCTACGATGGGTTGCGTCAATTTAATTTTTTTGCCAATTAACATGCACTGTATGAAATTTAAATCAAGTGTGTTGCATGCATCAATTACTTCGTTTGTAAAGGATTTTTTATTCTGTGTTTCCTGTATTTGATTAACTATCAGTGAGTAACACGTTTGATTTTTCAGCAGCCTGATAAAAAGATTAACTTTGTTCCTAAGGAGAATAGTTGAGATATCTTCTATTTTAAAAAAAGAATGAAGGTAATTTTTACTGTACTTCGAAATACAAAAAAATGATTTTAAGACTGCTCTTCCAACAGCGTTTATTTTGCTGAGAAAATTAGTATCATATTTACATAGTTCAAGACCATATATAAGCTTCGGCACTGTTAATGTATTGTACAGATGAACAATTGTTGATGGCTAGCAGTAACGAATCTCACTGTCAATTAGAGCTTTTGCAACTGATTGAAACTGAGTTATACGCTCATTTAAATTTTTCTTTCGGAGTGTTGCAATTTTATTTTTGCTGGTATTGTTATCCCATTGAAAACCCAGATGTTTTAATTTATTTTGAAGATATATAGAAACTCCATTAATTTTAACAGCGTTGTTAGGAATATAACTTTTTCCAGAAATCAGAAATTCTGTTTTCTCAGTGTTTAGCTTGATAAAGTTTGCTACTCCATATGTTTGAAATCTGTTAATCAGTTCCTGCAGACCAGAGATTGTGGGGCATAGCAAAACTACATCATCTGCGTATGCAATTACACCAGTATAAATTCCATTTATTGTCGATCCTACTTTACATTCTGAGACAATTTCATTTAGGATGCTTTCAGTATAAATGTTATATAAATGTGGCGATAGAATAGACCCTTGTCGCACCCCTTGTGATAGACTGAAATGATTTGAAGTAACACCTTGATAGGATATGTTTGCAGAACCAGAATGATAAAGGGATGATGTTGTGCGTACTACAGACAACGGAAGATTTTTTTGGAAATAGAGCTTCTCAAATAGCAAATCCCAGTTGCAAGTATCAAAAGCTTTATTAGCATCTAAACTGCACATATATAAAGGCGTGTTATTGTTTTTATAGTGCATAACAGTTTCGCTCAGTAACGGCGAGTAGCAAAAAAACGCAGCCTTTTAATCTAGTTCCTAAAAAAGAAATTAAAAATGCTTGCATACTTCATTTAGGAGAAGTTGGTTATAATAATGACAAACTGCGTGGTTTCACTGAAAATGCGCTTACGAAAGTGAAGAATGCTTGGTAAGTCAAAAACTAAATGTTCAACTCAATTTATACAATCCACGACTCATGGCTAGTATGTTGGTCACTGAATGGCAAATCATAACTTCTTTAGAGCTATATTATCATCGGTTTTGTTACCTTTACTATACAAGACTCCAAAAAGTTTCTTTTATTTTAACAGAAGATGCAATCAGAGGCAATTTTACCGGCGAATGTGGGGGCAGTGCCGAATCAGGGGGGGCTAGCACTCTGGGCACCGCAAAGTTAAAGGCCCCCAAAAACTTTAAAGGATTTTTTTTTTTAAGCGATTTTGAGACTTTAGCCCATGAAAAGGCCTCAATAATTTAAAACAGCCCCGGGCCCTAAGAAGTCTTATTCTGCCACTGTCATCACCCTATATAAATGGCGTTCTTAGGTCAGCTTGGTTAGCAATATCAGGATCCGTGCAAAATGTGTACGATCTTATTTGAATCTCTGCGTTCTTTTAAAAGGTTAACAAAATTCTCGTTCATACGTAATTTCTTTATTACAAAACTTATTTAGAATTAACAAAGTATGAAATTAAATGTCATAAAAATATTAGTATTAAAAAAAAACGGCCGTTAAAAAAAAACTCTTTACGCATTGTCGCGACTTTTTTTTTATCTGTGTAATCAATCAAATATTAATTTTTTGATCTAAATTAAAACAATACATTTTGATTCCTTTTTTTTTCTAACTTAAATTAACAAGAACAAAAGAATAACATCATCTTCTCTAGCTTTTGGTAAATTAGTATCGTGAGAGTTAAAAAACATACGAAAAAACGTTATTTTAAAATTCTATACTAAAATTCCTGAGGGAATTTTAGTATAGAATTTTAAAATTATAAAATTATAAAATTAAGTTGGTTCATCTTTTAAATATACTTTAAACAAATAAGTATAGATAAGCAAAATATATATATATATATATATATATATATATATATATATATATATATATATATATATATATATATATATATATATATATATATATATATATATATATATATATATATATATATATATATATATATATATATATATATATATATATATATAATATATATATATATATATATATATATATCGCAATAAAAAAATCTATGCATTCAAATAACTTTAGATTTTATAAAATAAGTTTATATTAAAAGTAAGTTTAATCTCTTTCAATTTTGATATTTAATAATACATACAAATTTTAAAATATAAAAACTTTATAGCTATAAACAATAAAACAAACAAACTTTTTTTTAAAAAATAAACATTTTTAAAAAAATTAGATTTTATTTAAAACAAGTAAATACGGTGTTCTCTAACTTTTACAGAAAAATGCTCGTCAGTTATATTTTATCAATAGATAAACTTTATATATATTAAAACTAATATTATAATCATATAATTAAACAACTCGTTTGTTGCTTTTCTAAATTATTCAAACAGCTTGCGATATTATGTTTTGTTGTCATTGTAGACGGATGGTTGATACCTAAAATTTCAGTTTGTATTTTATCAACAGAATAATAAATTTCTAAAGCTTCGTTATATTTTCCCATATTGCTCAAACAGAGTGCGATATTATGTTTTGTTGTCATTGTAGACGGATGGTTAATACCTAAAATTTCAGTTCGTATTTTATCAACAGAATAATAAATTTCTAAAGCTTCGTTATATTTTCCCATATTGTCCAAACAGCTTGCAATATTATGTTTTGTTGTCATTGTAGACGGATGGTTGATACCTAAAACTTCAGTTTTTATTTTATCAACAGAAAAATAAATTTCTAAAGCTTCGTTATATTTTCCCATATTGTTCAAACAGAGTGCGATATTATGTTTTGTTGTCATTGTAGACGGATGGTTGATACCTAAAATTTCAGTTCGTATTTTATCAACAGAATAATAAATTTCTAAAGCTTCGTTATATTTTCCCATTTTGTCCAAACAGAGTGCGATATTATGTTTTGTTGTCATTGTATCCGGATGGTTGATACCTAAAATTTCAGTTTTTATTTTATCAACAGAATAATAAATTTCTAAAGCTTCGTTATATTTTCCCATTTTGTTCAAACAGAGTGCGATATTATGTTTTGTTGTCATTGTAGACGGATGGTTGATACCTAAAACTTCAGTTTGTATTTTATCAACAGAATAATAAATTTCTAAAGCTTCGTTATATTTTCCCATATTGTTCAAACAGCGTGCAATATTATGTTTTGTTGTCATAGTAGACGGATGGTTGATACCTAATATTTCAGTTTGTATTTTATCAACAGAATTATAAATTTCTAAAGCTTCGTTATATTTTCCCATATTGTCCAAACAGAGTGCGATGTTATGTTTTGTTATCATTGTATCCGGATGGTTGATACCTAAAATTTCAGTTCGTATTTTATCAACAGAATAATAAATTTCTAAAGCTTCGTTATATTTTCCCATATTGTCCAAACAGCGTGCAATATTATGTTTTGTTGTCATTGTAGATGGATGGTTGATACCTAATATTTCAGTTTGTATTTTATCAACAGAATAATAAATTTCTAAAGCTTCGTTATATTTTCCCATATTGTCCAAACAGAGTGCGATATTATGTTTTGTTGTCATTGTATCCGGATGGTTGATACCTAAAATTTCAGTTCGTATTTTATCAACAGAATAATAAATTTCTAAAGCTTCGTTATATTTTCCCATTTTGTACAAACTGAGTGCAATATTATGTTTTGTTGTCATTGTAGACGGATGGTTGATACCTAAAATTTCAGTTCGTATTTTATCAACAGAATAATAAATTTCTAAAGCTTCGTTATATTTTCCCATATTGTCCAAACAGCTTGCGATATTATGTTTTGTATCAAGCGTGATAATGTTATTTTCACCATAAGTTTCTGTATTAAAATTTTGAACAGCTTTTAATAATTCGATTGCTTCTTCAAATAAACCTTTACATTCTAATAATTTTCGAATAGAAGTTGTCATATGATGGAAGGAATCCATAAATCTTTTTTTATTAGTACGAAACATATAAATAAAATGAAAAACAAAATGATTTCCGTAATCCATGTGATCTTTTACTTCATTCAATTCAACTTTAAAATAATTTTCGATGAAATCAAGATATGCATTTGTACTTGAATTTCTCTTTTGAAAACATTTACATGTTAACTGTGTCAGTTCGTGTATTGTATATTTTTTATCATCAAAACAGTTTAGTAAAGAATAACTCATTAGTAATCCAATAGCTTCATCTATTAAATATTCATCGTTTGTTTCCATTTGATTTGAGATTTTTGTTATAAACTGTTTACTGATGTTTTGACCGTCGCAATGAGATAAGCAGTTTAATATTTTAAATGGAAAAAGTTTAGTTTTTTCTAATTTTATTAAAACTAAGTTAATTGCTTGTATTGCCGACTTTGATTCTTCTTCGGTTGGAAAGTTATTATTGTCTAATATTTCTGATGGTTTTGATCTATATCGATCAATGTATTTTTCTATCAAAATTTTATGTATATTTATATATTTTATTGCCTGAGTAATTGCAAACGGATGAAAACCAAGTGCTTTAATTAAGTTTTTTATGTTTTCGTCGCTGTTTTCTTTAATATTATTTTTTACATAAGTGAATGCTTCTTTAGAAGAAAAAACATCAACTAACATTTTATTTACATTATTTGACCACGTTCTCCATTGGGAGGTAATCAACGTGAATGATTTCGGTTTTTTTGAAATGTACATTGATAAATTTTTAACACTTTCATCGTCGACATTGTCAAAAATATACAAAGTCTTTTCATTTTTATAATAGTTGTGAATTTTTTCAACAATCACTTTTATATTAAAATATTCTCCTTTTGAATCATGAACCTCATATCCTAATATTTGACATTGGTTTCTCATTGAAGTTTGTAACATTCCAAATGCTGCGTCAATCCAAACAATGTTTTTATAGAAGTTATAAGATATTTCACAATATTTTCTTGCAATAAGTGTCTTTCCGACACCCGACATTCCATATAATACTAAAGTTGAGTTGTTTGCATCTTGTAAAAAAAAAAGTTGAATTTCGCTAAGTAGTTTATTGCGTGAAAATAAGTTTTCTGATAAAGATTGAATACCTAAAAAAAGACGTTCAGTTAGATGTATTATAAAAAATAATTATTTTAACTAAAATAAATTTAATATCATTTATTAAGTAAAAAGTTTCTACTTGTTACTAAACTATTTTTTTTTTAAATGCAGCGCGTTATTATTAAATTTAAAAAAGTTTCTATATATAAAATTAAACTAGTTTTGAAAATATTTTTGAATTAAGTTTTATGTTACACTATAATAATTTAATATTTTAAAAAAGTTTTGTAAACAAAACTTAATGAAATATACTTTGTGAACTTAACTATTTAAAAAACTCCAAGTAATTATTGTTACTCAAAAGAATACATGGGAAAATAAAGTAAAAATACAATTTAATTTGAACTTTGTTTTTAAAATGAGTTTTTGAGCCTCTGAAAATAAACATTTTTTTATAGCGTGCGTTCTACCAACCTGAAATGCAAATGTTTGCATTTCATGAAAGTTTGTTTTTCTTATTTTTTTATTCATCACAAATTCTAAAAACTTTATATTCTTTATTTTTAAAACGTATATCATGCTAAACAATTCTTGTTATTATAATACGATTATATTTATATATATATATATATATATATATATATATATATATATATATATATATATATATATATATATATATATATATATATATATATATATATATATATATATATATATATATATATATATATATATATATATATATATATATATATATAAATATTATATATAATAAGCAAATAAAATTAAATAAAGAATAAATAAATTACGTGAGTAGGTATATGTATATATTTTTGTATATGTGTTTATGTATGCATTTATTCATATAAACACGTATATGTGTACGTGTATTTGTATGAATATGTGTTTTGGTTTAAGTGTATATAAAAGTTTGTATCTTTGAATTTATGTATATATAGATATGTATATGTGTGTATGCAGGGCCGGCGCGAGTAGGTGTCACGTCAAGGGTGGGGGGGGGGGGGGTGTGCCATTACAACTTTTGCCGACTAAAAAAAAAAAAAAAAAAAGTCCTCGTTTTCCAAAATTTGCCGACTGTCATGACGACATTTACTGACTGTCTAACCTATATCGAAAGGGTTGACATTTGCCGACTAACTAGTCAAAAACGGTCTAATTTGCCGACTAAGGGTCCAATTTGCCGACTTAGCATCCAGTTTGCCGACTAAAAATCATTGATAAGTGGGGGGGGGGGGGTGACAGCCCTCACACCCCCCTATCGCGCCGGCCTTGTGTGTATGTATGTAAACTTTTAACTAACCTGTTTTGTTGTCTTTATAACCAACCTGCTTGAACATTTTACTATGTTGAAAAACGTAGGACTGACGAAAAAAACTTTTATGACACACGAACAAATAAATGAAAGAAATATCGCGTCTTCTTTGAACTGACCGTTAGGTTCAGTTCTGACTTTTAAAGATCTGGAAAAAAATAATTAAAAGTGTCATGAATTTTTTTTTTCCTTTTCTTTTCTTTTTTTTTATTTAAAATATGTTGAGATGTAAACCTATTTATATAAACACTAATACTAATATTTTATTTTGTGATATAATACATTTACAATTTTTATGTTGATCATTTATATTCTACAACTACTACTACTAATACTTCTACTACTACTACTACTACTACTACTACTACTACTACTACTACTACTACTACTACTACTACTACTACTACTACTACTACTACTACTACTACTACTACTACTACTACTACTACTACTACTACTACTACTACTACTACTACTACTACTACTACTACTACTACTACTACTACTACTACTACTACTACTACTACTACTACTACTACTACTACTACTACTACTACTACTACTACTACTACTACTATTACTACTACTACTACTACTACTACTACTACTACTACTACTACTACTACTACTACTACTAAGTATAAATCAATGTTATAAAAATAGTTTAAAAAAACTAACAACAACAAAAACTGCAAATATTACATAATTTTACCTCACACAAAATAAAAGTTACTTTTTATTCAAATACATTCACATGCAATTCGATATATTTATACAAAAAAATTATAGCTGTGTTTATATGCACACACTCTTTAACATATTAGTTTGCTTGATATAAACGTTTTGAATTTTAAATAATGGAATTAATTAAAGTATTTAATATTTGAAAGAAAAACCTTGTTTATTTAGATGTTATTATTTGACGATAATACAATATATGTTTGATTTTTATTTAAACTATGATGACTATTTTTACCATTAATGGAAAAAAATTTATGATACGAAATATGACACTTTAGTTAAAATTTATGTGAATCACAATTTTAATAATCACGTGTAAATGATTTACTATGGTAAAAAGTTTGTTATTGACTTTGTGTAAAAGAATGTGGTAAAAATCTTCTATAGGATAGGTTCGGGTAATTTGAGCACCGAGGTAATATGAGCATACCAAAAGATAAGTTGCAAGCAATGAAGTTCAAGTTGCATAGTTTTTTTTGAACTGACTTTATAAGGTTATAAAAGAAAGCAGTATAAATAGCGTAAATTTACACGCAATAATTTACAGCTTTCAGCTAATTAAATCTCTGCTCAAGTTTTTGTGATTTTAAATTATTTTAATTACACATAAAAAAAATATGTAAATCAAAACTTTGATGCAGAAATATAGATATTAAATTTTTTATCAAGAAAATTATGTTAGGTTTAAATCCGCTCCTTTTTTTTACTTCATTTAAAAACACCTTTTTTGTGTAATATGAGGTTGCTTAAACACGGCGTTATTTTTTGTTCAAAAATCTTCTAATTGCCAGTTTGCGCGTGTACTCGCGCGAACTGGCAATTAAGAGATTTTTATTTTTCAGTGTAAAACCTAATTTTAAGTGTAATTTTAAGTGTAAAATGATATTTATAATATAAGTGTAAAAACACGTGTTTTAACACTTAAAATTATAGTTAATGGAAACCATGTAAAATGACAATAAAATTTTAATAGACCAATCAATATCTAAAGTTTTTGCATGTGGTTTCTATCGATGCAGACATTTTGCGATAAATTTGACTTATAAGTAAACAAAAGATTTGGATCGTTGGTCTATGTACTTCATCCTACAATTTTTAATTATATCTTGAGATTATGCTCTCATATTAATAACATAATACTGAGTTTATATTTGCATAAAACATTACAAAAATATTTAAAAAATCTGGCACTGTAATTATAATTATACTTCAGAATAAAAATTAAAACTAAAAATCTAAATGAAAAATATTTTTTTAAACGTAAATTTTTGTAAAACACTAATAATAAACATCTCCGAAATTAATTTATAGAAATTATGAAATACAATTAATCGAATTATTAATTAAAATTAAAGGAAAATTTTTCTTAGAAAATACTGCTTTAAAAATTATTGTAAATTGGGCTGTAGTTTAAGATTCTTTTAATTTCAATGCAGGAATGTAAGTTGTCAAGTACAACCTGCCAATACCTAAAAAACAAAGGTAAAAAATGATTCTGTCTTATCAATTTATCATACATGTTCTGTTTTTATCTAGTTTGTAAATTCTATTTCATAAATCAACACATATTTTAATTTGCATAGCTTAAGCAGCCTAGCTTTATATATGTTTAAGATTAATTTAGCTAATCTTAACTCAATCTTTAACATATATAATAATATAATTTTAACTCTTTCATAAGTGCGCGAATTTCATAAGTGCGAACTAGCATAAATGCAAATGGCGTAAGCGCGAATTAGCATATGTGCGAACTTGCATAAGTGCGAAGCGTTGCAAAAACTGGCATAAGTAGGAACTCGAATTGGCATAAGTGCGCCAAAACATTTTGAAAACATTGGCATTAGTGCGATTTGGCATATATGCAAACTGACATAAGTGCGATACAGTTACTAAAACTGGTACAAATGCGAACAGGCATAAGTGCGATTTGGAATAAGTGCGCCGAACAAATTTGCAAACATTGGCATAAATGCGAACTGGCATAAGTGCAAACTGACATAAGTGCAAAGCAATTACAAAAACTAGCATAAGTGCGAACTGGCATAACTGCAAATTGGGATAAGTGCGCCAAATGAATTTGCAATAATTGGCATAAGTGCAAACTGGCATAAGTGTGAATTGGCATAAGTGCGAAATACTAATTTTCAATTATGCCAATATTTGAAACTTTATTCGGGGCACTTATGCCGATTCGTACTTATGCCAGTTTTTGTAACTGCTTCGCACTTATGCCAGTTCGCACTTATGCCAATTCGCACTTATGCCAATATTTGCAAATTTATTCGTCGCACTTATGCTAATTTGCAGTTTTGCCTGTTATTATCGTTTTCCATCAGGAAACCCAGATGTTTAACATTTCAACAAAATAAAGTCTTTATTAAAAGTGAGTTTTTTTAATCAAATTTAAAAAAATAAAAATTTAAATTGCAGCCAATTTTTTCCGAAAATTAGTCAAAAAGTTGCATTAAAACATCAAAAATAACCTCATACTTATTTTTTACTGCATTTGTAAAAAAATTCCAAAAATGGTCCATATAAGGACTATAAAATTGTTAGGTCCATAATTAGTTAGAGAATTTAAAGGTAATTCAATATTTTAGGTTTAAGGGTCGTCCATAAATAATGCAACGTAAAGTATATTTTAAAAACAGAAGTAGAAGATATTTAGCTCTTTTGAGCGGCGAAATTTGTAAAATTTAATGGGTTATTCTGATTTTTTATTCAAATTAAGACTCTGCGAGGGAGCACTTTTGTTCTTTTTTGTGTTGTTTATTGTAAAAGTTTGCTTTACGTAATTTATAGACGATCCCTTGGAGACTTTTTTAAAATCAAAAATGTCAATTTTTAGAAGAAAAATTTAATATTTCAAGATAAATTATATATATATATATATATATATATATATATATATATATATATATATATATATATATATATATATATATATATATATATATATATGTATATATATATATATATATATATATATATATATATATATATATATATATATATACATATATATATATATATATTTATATATATATATATATATATATATATATATATATATATATATATATATATATATATATATATATATATACAAGAAATATTTAATATTTCAAGATAAATTTTATATATATATATATATATATATATATATATATATATATATATATATATATATATATATATATATATATATATATATATATATATATATATATATATATATATATAATATATATATATATATATATATATATATATATATATATATATATATATAGTATTAGACAATACAAGTGCAACCAAAAAATGCTAATTTAGTTTCTTTATATAAATTTGCTGCATTTTTTCAATTTAGACAAATAACTATATAACTGCTTAAAGACAATGTTTTTCAAGTTTTATTCATCACAAAGTTCATTATATGTACACAAAAATTAATTATATAATCAAAAGTATTAAAAAAAGTTGATTTCCTTCTGAAAATCAACTTTTTTTAATACCAAGCTATATTTTAAGAACGAGCTGTATTTCGCTATCAATATTTCGCGGCGAATCCTTTGTTTTTGATCACAGCCTTGCATATTCGAGGCATAGATTTAATCAGGTGATCAATGAAATTTTGTGGAATCGCTGCCTAGGTCTGTTGGATTTGTTCAAACATTTGATCCTTATTACGAACACCTTCACGATTAGTTCTGCGGTTAACGATCTCCCACAGGTTCTCGGTAGGGTTGAGATCTGGAGATTGAGGCGGCCAATCCATCAGCCTCAGGTAGTTGTCTTGAAACCACTGCTTGACTACATTTGCATTGTGTTTCGGATCGTTGTCTTGCTAAAAAACCCATTTTATTGGTGTATTTCATTCAGCATGAGGTAAGATAACATCTTTCAGGATATTTTTATACATAAAACGGTCCATTATTTTATCGATTCGATGTATTGGACCTAAATCATTCACAGAAAAACACCCCCAGACCATTACATTGCCTCCACCATTCTTCACGGTGTTATGGCAGTAACGTAAATCGAGGCGTTTTCCCGCCAGTCTACGTACTCGACAAATGCCATCACTCCCAATGATATTGAACTTCGATTCTTCACTGAACAGGACAGTTCGCCATTTCTGCACATTCCAGTCAATATGAGATTTAGTGAACAGGAGTCTTTTATTCTGGTTCTTTGAAATGAGCGGTTTCTTTGCAAGGCGTCGAGAAAACAATCCGGCTTCAACAGCACGTCGTCTGATTGTTCGGTCCGATACAGGCAGCTCTAATTACTTATGTATCTTGACTAATGATATCCAGAGATCCTTCTTTATGGATCTGACAATCATAGAATCCTCTCTAGAGGTGGTTGAACGCGGTCTTCCACCTTTGTTATCTGCTGTCAACT